TCATAAAGCTAATCCGGATAGGTGGTTCATAAACTTACAACCACAATTCCAAGAAGTTGTAGACGCAATGGAAGTGAATGGTGAACCAGATATAGCTGGTATTTTTAGCGCGGCTTTAATGCCATTGAAAGATATGAAAGATGCAGATATTTTGAACCAGTATGAAATGAACATGGCTGATGGAAATATAACACCTGACGTTCTAAAACATTTATCTCAAAGAACTACACAGAACCATAAAGATGGTATATTTGGTGAAGAGTTTAGAAAGAAAGTTAGGGAGAGAGAAGGAAGAGAACCTATTGTACATGACCTTGCAAACGAAAGTTTACAAAATGTCATAAAAACTTACTTTGCAGACAATGAACTGAGAAGGGATGAATATTTAAGAAAACTCAAATGGACAGTACCAAATGAAATGTTAGTATTGAAAAACATGTTCCTTGACAAAATAAAACCAACTACAGAAATAAATGACGCAAGACTGAAACATTGGGTAAAAGCTTTCCCATTCACAAAAATATTATTGGTAACATGGAAAGAAACCAGAATGGCTACAAAAACATATATATTGGAAACGAGCATATTCCATATGGACAAGCTATATTTGAAGAGCTTGAACCGAAAACTCAGGAAAGAGTCATGCAAACAATAAGCGAAGACTCAAATACAAACTATAACAAAATCTTTCTAGGATATTGGTTACCTGAGATGGGCGACCAGAGCCCAAAGGCAAAAAGGACATGGAAAATTTACAACATACTAGGTGAACATGAGGCAAAGATGCAACAACTTGAAGCAGAGGGCAAGTTACCAAAAGCGACACCAAAGAAGAAGAGTAGAACAAAGTGAAAGTAGTGAAGAAGTAACTTCATCTAGTGAAAGTAGTGGCAATGAAGGAAAAAGAAGAGTTAAAAACTCAGTCAGGAAGAAAGTAAAGCTTGGTACGAGTGGGTTCTATTATGACACATAAATCCAACTATTCTATATTTTTACCCATATGAAATGTACGCCGCTCAGAATATAACGCCAACAGTTTGGATGCCATGAACGGAAATGTTTCCGAATGGTATAACGAATGCGACAATGCCATTAGAAGGTCAGAAATAGTTCCTGGAACTTACGAATATACAACTGCTGTTTCTTATGGAAACGTAGGTGAGTTTGGAGAAGGTTCTTCAACAACAGTAGATATTGCTTGCGACAGGTTTCATATTATTTCTATTGACAACTCATTCTTATACGTGGAACAAGACATTGAAATAAAACCTTCTGCCAAGTTGTCTGACAAGAAAGGCTGCAATGGAATTTTCTATGTCGGATACCAATATGCTCCAGAAGTTTTCATGGGATATAAGATATATTCTAACTCTGACTTAGTTCAAACAGTAACATGGGCAAACTATGAATGGTTCTCTTTGAGAAACTCAGTACAACCACAAGCTAGAGAACAAACAGACCAGTATGCAACTATTGAGAAAATAAGAAGACTTGACCCTAACGTTCCAGGAGTTTATGTTAACCTTTCTGGTTCAGATGGAACTGCTGCCACTAAAGTAAAACTGAAACTTAGAGTTCCTTTGTCATCTTTCCTCATCTTCAGGTTTTTAAGATACTTACCAAACTGGGCAGGAAAAATTTCTATCGAACTTACTCCAAGCAAAAATAACTTAGTCATTGCACCAACACAAGACCCATTCACTCTTACAGACGTAAAGGGAACAAATAAAACGTCATTCGCCGAATTTTGCAAAGACAAAGTTGACTTAGACTTTGGTTTCTCAAACTCAACAATGAAGTAAACTATTATTTCAATGCTGCTGGAACTGCTTGGACCCAGTTAAGTTCACATGCGAAAAGTTTGAATGCAAGAGAATAGAAAGCAGACTTGCAGTCTATATGTTGGACCCAGATATTTCAAATGCTTTAGCTGCCAAATATATTGCAGTTCCACTTATGTTCCCTATACACCAAATATCTGTCAAAGACTTTGCAGGTGAAGTTGGAAACCAAAGTGCTGACCCAGGTGCAAGAACAGATATTGCTTTAACAACTGCAATGAAACATGCAGATACTATGTTTGTACTGTTCAGACGAACTATAAATGACTATTCTTGTTTCTACAACCCCGGTATTAAATATCATATAAACATAGATGGCAAATATTATCCAAGAGAAGAATATTCTACAGTTGAGGATATGAGGTCATACAACTTGACATTAGATGCTATGAACTTTAACAACAACTTCACAACAACCATTAACCCTGAAATGCAAAGTTCTATTATGCCATATGTGAAAGTATGGACTCATACAGGAGGTCAAAAAACTCAATATACAAATGGAGACCGTTCAAACTTTTGGCTTGGCATTCCATTTGCTGACTCAGAAGACTTTATGGGTGGTATTTCAACTGTTGGTACTGTACAAATACAATATACTGGTGACAGAGACGGTCCAGATGAACTGAGAGCAAAGAAGTTTACAAAACCAATAGCACTTTTCACGGAAGATGCTCTTTTGAAGATTCGTTCGATGAAACCTGCTGGGGCTCCTCAGATTGGCATAACGACAGCTTCCATCGAGCAGATTTTGGCAGCAGGTCAGTAAGTTGTTCTTGAACTGACTTCTCTCCGTCAAATATTGACAGTACGCCAGTTTTGACATAATATTGTAAGATAAACTTACCTTTAGAAATATCTGTAAGTTTTGTTGTTATATTTTTGTCAACGTCAAGAACTTTCACCATCTCGGTTATACCAACTTTCTTTGCTTTATGAAAATATTTTGGTTCAGCAAATATTGCTATTCTATAACATTTACCATTGTTTGTATAAAGAACTATTCTGTCAATGTATTTGTATTGTTTGTGTGTGTAAACTTTGTTCTGCTTCAATTCGAAGAGATACTCGAATACGTCCATCTTTTTATTCTAAGTAAAATGTCATTTCCGAAAAATAGAAGCGTGAGTGTTTCAAAAGGTTTAATGGCGGTGGCAGATGTGAAGTTAAATTCACCAACTCAAACAAACAGTCAAAGTGTTTTGTCAATGTCAAAGACAGAGATGTTGAAGTGGGGAAACCATACGAGGACGAAGATGGTATAACAATTGTTCCTGTAAAAGAACAACCAACATATCCTGAAGTTAGCAGAGACTTAAGTTCTGTTGCAGATATTCGAAACGACTACCAACAACTTAAAGACAAACTTCAAACTCAGGAGAAGATTTGTCAAGCTTTAGGTATAATGTTAAACTTGGTCGAACACAACCCTGTAAAAGTGAACTCATATGTCATTGCACCTCATGAAGTTTGAAAGAACTATTGAAACTTTTGACAGAGGCAGACGATATAAACATCAAAGAAATAGAACCCGACATTAGTTGCTGTGGTGTTTCATATAATGTCATTGACAAGATATACGTTATGAAAGGAGGTGAAACGTTGAACTTAAAGTATAGTTTCCCAGACGTCATAAAAATATTTGACGACCACAACATTTCATTAAAATTTATTTGCTAAGTAAATGGCAGAAGATATAATGGTTTATACTATTACGACTAAAAACCCTGAGTCATATAATTCTATAACAACAAACTTACAAAGTCCTCAAGGACGATATTGTAAACTAACCTTTAAACACAATGACGACTAAAGCCTGTTTTGCTCTTTTGACACCAGAAGACTTTATTGTTGTGAATGGTAAAAAATACTCCTTTGAAGATACTTACTCAGATATACCACCAACAGGTTTTGTTGACTTATTTAATACTTTAAGTACGGGTGTAACATGTGCTGCAACTAGAGCAGGTTTCATTATGTTTGGATGTCCGACTGAGTTTACTATAAACGATATGAGCTATAATACAAAACTTATTTCTGGTTTTTACTACCAACAGTTTCCTATAACAGGAAAAGGTGTCATACAAGGAATGTCTATTCCATTGACATTAAGCACACCAATCTTATATATTGTTTCAAACTTAGGTTCAAAGTGTTATTCGAATGTCGACAGAAACTATTATGACCAAAAGATACTTATGCGTATAAACAATACTTTCTCTGCTGGTTTGCCTATTGTTCATTCGAATGCAGAATTTTCAACCTTAGTGAACTCAAACACTTTGGCAAGTATAACGTTGACATTAGTTGACGCAAACTTTGTTCCTGTAAAACTTTTATGTCCTATGTATTTGTCAATGACGGCAGAAAGTTTCGAATTGGAAGATGCAACTGGTGAAAGTATTGTATTACAAGAACAACTTCAACAACAAATAGCTCAAGAACAACAAATGCAACAAATGCAACAACAAAGTCAAGAATAAAAAAAAATTTTTTTTTATTTTTATAAAAATGTACAGAATAGATGTTTCAGATTTTTATGACTTCCAAGCATTCAGAAATATGTGTCCATTTAGAGACTATAACAAAGCAGTCGAGAATTTGAAACGTTTAGTCATTTATGTTGACTCTGCCCCAGAATGTTATGTCATGAAAGAATGGGATGTTGTCTTTAACAAACCTAAAGCACAATAGTTTCAGAACAAGAATGTAGACAGAAACTTAAGAAAATAAAAGTCGTACAAGTTGGCATGAAGATGTTAGATGCTTGGGATATCTTATTGTCAAAGTTAGAAGATTTTTCAGTTCGAGGTATAAAGTTCTATACACCTTCTCCAAACTTCTATTCTATCTTCACTGGATATAAATATGAACAAGTAGAATGGAAAGAAAATATTATAGAAGCTTGGTTAGACCATGTCAAAGAAATTATATGCAATGGAAACGAAAAGGTTATGAGTATATCTTATGTTGGTTTGCAAACATCTTACAACATCCAAGTGCTAAAAATGAAACTGCTCTCATTATAATTGGAAAACAAGGAACTGGTAAGAACACATTCTTTACAGATATTTTGTGCAAACTGTTAGAGGGCTATTCGAACCGAATATGACAAACTTAGAAAACATCTGTGGCAAGTTTAACTCCTCAATAGAGAATATGAAACTTATAGTTTGCAATGAACTTCAAAGTATAGATACAACAAAAGTTTTGAACTCAGATGCTTTGAAGAGTCTTATAACAGACAAAGTTGGAGTTGTTGAAAGAAAGTATAAAGACCAAAGAGTTTGTGAAAATGTTGCAAACTTCATTATGGTTTCAAACAATGCTGTTCCGATGAAGTTAGAAAGTTCTGACAGAAGATATGTAGTTGTCAGAACGTCAGATTCTCATATGCAAGATACAGAATATTTTGACGACTTAGCAGAAACTTTGACATCTGACTTTTACAACCACTTGTTCTCATATTTTATGACATTAGATATTTCAAAGTTCAATCCAAGACAAATTCCACATACCGAAGAGAGACAAACATTGTTAGAAGCAAACAAGAGTGTATATGAACTGTTCATAGATGAAACTGACTTTGAGTGTTTAGATGAAAGGTCATTGTACGATTCGTATAAACAATATTGTCAAGAATATGGTTATATGACAGCGTCTAAACGAACATTCTTGGCAAATGTCAAAAGTCTTTTAGACGTACAGAATGGTGTATATACAAAGAAAAATTTTTATGAGTAAATTTTAAAAAAAATATTTTTTTATCCGATAGAAAAGATGGCAAAATTCATCTCAGTAAACAAGTACATGTCAGGACTTAAAGAAGAACTAGACCCATTCACATATTTGAATGTTTACTTCTACCATTTTGAAAAGTCTTCATTCAGCAAAAGTTTGGAACATCGAACCAGTTAAGTTTGCTATTGTGACTAAAAATGGTGCGAAATTTGAAGACTTAGACATAGAAGGTTTGTTAGCAGTCAAAGAAAGTTTTGACAGAAGGTTTTCAAACCTTAAAGAAGGCAAAGCATACAAAACTTGTTATAAACCTTATGAACCAAAGAAAGCAGACGACTATGAATATTATGAGTCTAAGATAGTTGAAGTTCAAGGTAAATTGGGTAAAAAGATTTTAGAGTCTAAGCCAGTGTTTACTCCTAAAGAGGAAGAGAACATTGACATTGACCCAGAAAATGTTCTAAAAATAAAATTTTATTTTTACATGTCAAATTTCTTTTTCTCTGGAACTGGTTCAGGTTCTTTCTTCTCTTCTTCTTCTACTTTCTTTTCTTTCTTTTCTTTGTTCTTCTTTTCTGGTGGAGTTATGTCAAATTTGGCGCAACTATATTTATGTAAAAGTTCTTTGTCCTTTAATAGCTCTTCTATTCTGTTTTCTATTTCATCTTCAAGAAAAGCGCATGTGTCTTCTTTGCATTCTAAGAAATTTTGTTGGACTTCATCTTTCCAAGAGGCGTCATCTCTGTCAACAAGTCTGTCATTGACAAATTTTAAGACTTCTCTGCCTAATGTTTTATGGTTCTTGTCATATTCCCAGAAAACAGAACTTTAGAACAAATTCACCTTTCTTGTTTACACTATGTAAGATTTTATGGTCGACAGATGTTTTGCTGTCGAAAAGCTTGTCTCGAATATAGATAGCGAAATCGCTAGACATTTTCTAAAAGATAAAAAATTTAATTTTTCTAAAAATATGTTAGAAAAAAAGTTTGCTGACATTGACAAGAAATTTGAGAATGTTTTAAACAAGAACAAGAGGAAGTTAGAAAATGTTCAGATAAAACCTATACATGAAAGTTCTTATTTGCTCAGAATGGTATAACAGGTCTAATTGCACCACCTGGGTCGGGTAAGACTTTCACTTATCTTAAAATGGCTGCACAACAACAAGAACTAGATGAGAAGAACCCATTTTATGAGTTAGTTGTCATTTGTAGTACTTCTGGTCAATTTGACCAAACCGTCAATTCGTTCAAAGATATTATAAAGAAGTCTAAGTTAGTATGTATAAAAGACTCTGAGTTGTTAGATTGGATAAAGAAGTACCAAAGAAGAGTTTTGAAGTATAATGCTATAAATGAGTATATAAATTCTAAGTTTAAAGACCCAAATGAGGAAATGCAGAGAATATTAGAGAAGAAACACTTCAGAAACAAACAGAAAGAGATAGAATACATTTCGAAGAAATTGCAATCTTACGATTGGAAGACATACCCTCATAGGTGTCTTCTTATCTTAGATGACTTTGCTTCTCATCCTTTGCTTAAGAATAGAGAACAAGATATGTGTCGAATTCTTAAGAAGCTCAGACACTTTAACATCTCAGTTGTCATTTGTGTACAGACAGCAAAGAGTTTAAGTAAGGATGTTAAAAGAATACTTACTGACATTATACTTTTCCCCGGATTGTCCGAAGACGATTTCATGGAACTTATGAAAGAGTCCATGGCAGGTAAGTTTGACAGACATGAACTATGGGAGAAGTACAAAGTCATACAAGACCCTCATACTTCTTTCAGAATTCATATCTACGCAAACAAAGTTCAAATTGTAAAAAGTCAAGCTTGAAAAATAAAGAGTTCATTTACCCTACTTGTTTGAAGTTGTCAAAATACTCTGTTATTTTTTCCTTCAGTAGCGGTAAGTCTTCTTTGAAGGTAAGTATTGTACAACCTTTCATATCATAGTGTGTTTGAGGTAACGTATCTTGAACTATTTGTTTCACATCTTCATTCGGTGTCATTGAAATCGGTAAGTTTTCGCGATAGAACCAATTTCTGTCAGATTTGTAAATCTTAGCAAGGTCGTAAAAGCTTTTGTTGTTTCTTCTGACTAAATGCAACATAACCATATCTTTATCTTCTTCATTTTCCATCTCTTCAGTATAAATCATATACTTATAGTTCTTTTCCTTTCCTTTTGGTACCGAACGTGGTATTCTTTTCTGAATGCTTTTGTCTTTTGCTTCAATGACTTCATCTTTTGCTTGAAGTTTCTTTTCCATCTCTTCACGTTCTTGTCTATGAATTTCGTCAAGAAGTCTGTAAATATACCAAGCATAACGAGGCGAAGCCCACATTGCAACAGCATTTACAAGAAGTCTATGTACATACCAACCTCTCAAACCATTTGGCAAATTTTTACGATTTTCATGAGTTTTAGGCGACCCCGAAAAAAGTCGGTCTCGCTGTGCTTCGCTCAAAAGTTCTTGTGTGCTTTGGTTTTTGAACCAATCGTCTGTATGTTTGGTATCTGGAGCAAAACATGCTGTCAAAATACTTTGCATTTGGTACATATCGTCTTTGACCGAACGAATGAGACGGAGTTGTTTGTTAAACTGTATGTACTCGTATTCTTCATTTATAGCTTCATGAACGATAGCAGTTGTTGTGTTCTCTGTTGTTGACATATCTGTCTTTACATACAAAATAAAAAAAATATTTTATAAAAAATTAGCGTTATTTTCTGACTTTCACAAAAGACCAAAAATAAACGCTTTACATGTATTTTTTCAGCAACTTCGTCAAATAATTTTATAGCTTTATCTATCTCATCTACTTCAAACGTTTCTTTACCTTTTATGGGAGCACCATATATTTTCTCAAACTTTTCAAGTAGTTCTGTTTCTGCAGCTCTCATATCATTAGCAAACACAACCTTGACTCTATTGACTGTACTGTCATATCTTTGAGTTATATTATATGTTCTTCCTATCTTATATCTTTTTGTGTTGAAGTCCTTCGGTTTCTGAACGATGTAAAGTAAGCCTTCACTGCAACGTTCCGTATCGAATGAACCATATGTTATGAAGTTATATCCAACAACTGGTCTAACCATAACAAAACTATTGGTATAGACTTTTGTCTATAAGATATGCTGCAGTTCCATAGAATCTTACCGATATCATAAGCTCAGGATTTCTTGTCAAAATTTTCTGACTAGAAGCAATTCTAACCCAGTCCTTTGTTTTCTTTCCAGATGGAGATATAATGTCTGACAAAGAATATTTGTTGTATTTCTTTGAGTATCTTACGTTTAAATCACCTATTCTAACCACTTTGGTGTCATTGTCTATCTTTCTAACTGTTTCAAACTCAATGTTTGTCATTTCTGTTCTTACATACAAAATAAAAAAATAAATAAAAATAAAACTAACTTTATTTTTTCTGTCTTAAGGAAATTCATGAAATTTGGTCATTTTTCAGCAAAAATATATTTTAGGTGAAGAGGTGAGATCTCACCTGTTTTCTCACCTGTTTTCTAACATGGTCTAAAACACACAAAACTCATGAAATTTGGTCATTTTTCAGCAAAAATATATTTTAGGGTAGATGGTTAGATCTAACCCGATATCTACCCTCTTTTCTCACCTCTTTTTTTCACAACCGTTTTACATGGTAAACGTTATTTTTGGAATTTTGTGAAAACTCAACGGTTTGACACAAGCCCTAAAAATTATTTTACTCAGAATTTTGTGCTGAATTCAGCAAAAATATATTTTAGGTGAAGAGGTGAGATCTCACCTGTTTTCTCACCTCTTTTTTTCACAAGCGTTTTACATGAATTGTACGATGTATATTTGAAATCCTAAACAGTTTTGTAGCCTCTATTTCTTCTTTTAGTACATCGAATGTTTTAACAATGCCGAAAGTTTCTTTATATTTCTTCTTGACGTCAGATAGAAGGAAATCTTCTGCTGTTGGATAGTTTTTGTCAAGACTTTGTCATATGATTGCTTCTCTCGGTTTTCCGAGGGAAGAGATTCCATGTTTTGTCAAGACTTCATTGTAAATGACCAAAAATAAAGTTTATGTTAGCATGTTAGATCTCACCTGTTTTCTCACCTCTTTTCTAACATGGTCTAAAACACACAAAACTCATGAATTTTGGTCATTTTTCAGCAAAAATATATTTTAGGTGAAGAGGTGAGATCTCACCTGTTTTCTCACCTGTTTTCTCACCTCTTTTTTTCACAAGCGTTTTACATGAATTGTACGATGTATATTTGAAATCCTAAACAGTTTTGTAGCCTCTATTTCTTCTTTTAGTACATCGAATGTTTTAACTATGCCGAAGGTTTCTTTATATTTCTTCTTGACGTCAGATAGAAGGAAATCTTCTGCTGTTGGATAGTTTTTGTTCAGAAATTCTAACATGTCCATTTTATCTTCTGCTGGTTTTTCTGCTTCTTTCTTTAAGTCTGCATAGTCGTTTCTCATTCTTTCTATCTCTTTGACGGAGTAGTTATATTTCCTAATTGCTGCTTTACATTTAGAACATTGCGGGTTCATTTTTGCGTTATACATTGAAATAAAACCAGCTAAAACAACTAAAGCGTCAATTGCTCTCTTCATCTCAAACATAGCGGGTCTTATTTGTTTGTTCCATACTTTGCCTCTTCTATCTTTATCTCTTATCTGCCATACACATTCAGCAACTAACGAAACAAAGTTGTCGTAGGTCTTAAATTCTTCAGATTTATATATGTCAGAGATGTTCTTATATACCATGTCGCAATCTTTGTCCATAACCTTATGGTTGCAATGAAATCCTAGAAACTCATAGTTTACCTTTCGTATGAACTTCTTTATTTCTACTGAGTCAGTTGGTTTCACTTCAATTTCGTCGAATTCAGGAATAGTTAGTTTTTGTTGTTGGATTTCAGGCAATTTGGGTAAATGGTCGATGAGGTCCTCCATTTCATAAAGATACTGTTCATTTGTTTCATCTTTCGCACTACAGTCTAAATTACTTGTTAAAAGTTCTTGCTTTATCTTCTGGATTTCTGTTTCAAAAGTATATGAAGAAGGAATGAAGCTTTTCATCTCTACTAACATAGATGTTGGATTCATGACTAACGAGTTTGGTGCTGTTGTTTGAATTGTTGTTGTGCCGATTGTTGAAATCATATCTTTTATACAAATAAAAAAAATAAAAAATAAAACTAACTTTATTTTTTATTTCGGGAAAATTCATGAAAATTCAAGAGGGTAGAAATGAGGGTAGAAATGAGGTTAGATCTAACCATCTACCCTAAATTATATTTTTGGGTCCTTTACACTCATTACGAAGAAGTCTTGACAAAACATTTACGAAGAAGTCTTGACAAATTCATGAGGGTAGAAATGAGGTTAGAAATGAGGTTAGATCTAACCTCTTCACCTAAACATTATTTTTGGGTCCTTTACACTCATTACGAAGAAGTCTTGACAAAACATTTACGAAGAAGTCATGAAAATTCAAGAGGTGAAAAAAGAGGTGAAAAAACATTTACGAAGAAGTCTTGACAAAACATTTACGAAGAAGTCATGAAAATTCAAGAGGTGAAAAAAGAGGTGAAAAAACAGGTGAGATCTAACCATCTACCCGACATTCTCGTCAAATACAAAAAAATGACACTTTTTCATTAGATAACTGTTATTTTTTGACGAAGTGAAGGTTTACACTTCGTCAAAAAAATCCCTGAAATCATGTCTTTACATACAAAAAAATACAAAAAATGATACTTTTTCATTAGATAACTGTTATTTTTTGACGAAGTGAAGGTTTACACTTCGTCAAAAAAATCCCTGAAATCATATCTTTTATACAAAATAAAAAAATAAAACTAACTTTATTTTTTCTATCTTAAGGAAATTCATGACAAATTCAAGAGGTGAAAAAAGAGGTGAGAAAACAGGTGAGATCTCACCTCTTCACCTAAACATTATTTTTGGGTCCTTTACACTCATTACGAAGAAGTCTTGACAAAACATTTACGAAGAAGTCATGACAAATTCAAGAGGTGAAAAAACAGGTGAGAAAACAGGTGAGATCTAACATGCTAACATAAATTATATTTTTGGTGTAAATTTCATGATTTTCGAGAGTTTTAGACCATGTTAGAAAACAGGTGAGAAAACAGGTGAGATCTAACATTCTAACATAAACTTTATTTTTGCTGAATTCAGCAACAAAATGAACGAGGTCAGGATGTATGTAAATACATTTGAATTCATTCATAACACCCTTTGTAAGCTCATAAAATGCTTGTTTTGAGGTCGAGCCACTTTTGGCTCCACCGTATTCTTTCAACCAAAACTCAAGAATTTCCTGCATGAATTTTGTATAAAAAGCAACCGCCGGAATTCAGACTGTTGCTATATTCTTCACAAAATGCCTTATAATACTCTTCCCAGGACTTATTTTCCAACAACTTTCTAAAGTCTTTCCTAAACTGACTGACTGACTGACTGACGGCACAAAGTGGCTTAGCGAAAACATTAATATATAAAATTCATGAAAATTCAAGAGGGTGAAAAAACAGGTGAAAAAACAGGTTAGATCTAACCATCTACCCTAAATTATATTTTTGGGTCCTTTACACTCATTACGAAGAAGTCTTGACAAAACATTTACGAAGAAGTCTTGACAAATTCATGAGGGTAGAAATGAGGTTAGAAATGAGGTTAGATCTAACCATCTACCCTAAACATTATTTTTGGGTCCGGGAACAACTTTCTCTCAATTGGAGCTGTGGCATACTCTTTGCGTAAGCGGTTCAGACCTTCTTCGAACTCTTGGTCTCTCTTCGATTTGGATTGAGATTGGAATTGCTGGGGTGGAGCTTGCTGGAACATCCAAGGGTTGGGGAAGTAAGGCATAGGCTGAGGAGGGTAGTTCGGGAAGCCTTGTGGTGGGTAGTAACCTTGAGGTGGAAATTGGTAGTAAATCGGAGGTACTTGCTGGAACTGAGGTTGCTGAGGAGACTGTTGTGGTTCTTTAGGTTCCTCTGGTTTGGGAATGGACTGGGTTGGTGGGACGTGGGACATTCGTTGTGGCTAACCGTCGGACCACAAGATAAAAATCTCTGCTACTAGAGTACTGCTACTGACAGTAGCAGTACTTTTACTGACAGTAGCAGTACTTTTTCTGACAGTAAGCAGTACTTTTTCTGACAGTAGCAGTACTTTATCGTCGAAAACCCTCTCAAATTTTCCTTTTTACTGACAGTAGCAGTACTTTTACTGACAGTAGCAGTACTTTTACTGACAGTAGCAGTACTTTTACTGACAGTAGCAGTACTTTTTTCTGACAGTAGCAGTACTTTTTCTGACAGTAGCAGTACTTTTACTGACAGTAGCAATGGTCGAGGTCGAACCTACCGACGAGGCAATTTACCTAATTGAACTTAACGACTGCGTAAAAGACTACTTGCGCAAGGTCATGAAGCCCAAGGTCAAGTTTCACCACTATTTCTGGAAGGGCTGCCTTGAATCTCGAGACTTCGACTGGAATTCCAATTGAGGTACCAGACGGGACAGCCTACGACGACATAAAGCAAGCAAAGAAGGAAGCCATTATAAAGTTCTTTGCCAAGCGTCCTTGGATACTACTTCCAAACAGAGAGAGTCCAATTCCACGAATTATACAAATTCTCAGAGCACTGTTCCACTTCTCAGGACAACCGTTCTTCATAACCTGTGAAGGCGACATCCAACCAGTTCAGTAAACCTTAACGTTTAACTTCACTTTTTTATGTTTTTTGTGAAAGTGTCAAAATAAATTGTTTTCATGAGTTTTCTACGATGTTAGAAAAGTGGTTAGAAAACGTGTTAGATCTAACATGCTAACATAAACATTATTTTTCAATACTTTTTCAGCACTTTTCCGTAGTTATATATGAAAGACAATTCGAGATAAAAGTCATAGTACAATGGAATAATATGTTGCACACCATTTGTTGTGAACCAAACTTGAAAGTCAGAAGAAACTGTTACTAGGTGGTTCGTAGAATTTAGAAGCAAAGTCATAAAAGTCCTTACCAATACATAGAAAACTATTGTTGCTTGAACTGAAACTTGCATGACACATAACATTTTGAGGGTCAAACACGTTTCTATAAACTGTCAAATCTGCTGGTGGAGTATAAATTGAAATGGACCATCTGGTGGTAATGGTTCGTTCTGGTTTAGTAACCGAAGAAATTGTGCCCAAGAACGTTTGTCTACTTTCCAAAATAAAAACTCTGTATCTCTTGGAGGGTTAATTTCAATCTTTTGAAATGAAACGGTGGAGTTCATCTTGTCATATTCTAGTTTCAGATAGTATGTTCCATTTAGTAAAGAGTCGTATTTTTCTTGAAATTCCCAATAATATTTGTTCATTTGAGTTTGAAAGTCATTTAGAGTTTTCTCAAGACTTTCGTCTGAACGAACTGTAAAGATTCTCATTTCGTCAAATTTGTCTATTAGACATCAGAACCTTTATACTGCCCATGAAAATATACTGCGAACATAAATGCGTTAGTTCTATTTGAAAACAAAACTCTTCTAAATCCTATTGCCTTTGCATCTGAAGGACTTTGAAGCCAACGAATTGGATAGTCAAACCTGTATACTCGGGATGAAATTTCTTCATCTGAAATAGTCCTACCAGCATTTGTAAAGATATAGTCTAACGGTTTTGTATCTGCTACTTTTGTTCTTTGTTTTTCAACCTGAAGCATTTAATATATGTAAAAATATATTGTTTTAAAATGGTATGCCATTTCATATTTCTCATCTAACAAACAGTTTCCCAACGGTCTTCTCCAACAAACTCAGGCGTACATTTCAAATAAAATTTAAAAAATGTCACTTTTTTAAAAAATAAATTTTTACTTCATGCAATGTTCACTAACATCGAAAGGCATGTCCATAAGACGTTCTTCTTCTAACCTTCTAGTCTGTTTGGATAATTGGCACGTGCTGTTTCCAAATCCATTTCGTAGGTCAGACCAGCCAGTTTGTCATAGACTTTTATGGGTCTTCCCTTCCTATATTAAAATTCTTCGAAACTCTCCAACCATATCTTTGCAACTCTGCTTTTATTCTAGCAGATTTTCTATCCATTCTATATGGGGGCATTTTTATAAAATAAAAAAATATTTTTTCTTTACTTTACATAACCGCCTGCTGCCATAAGTCTTTGACGCCAACCCATACCAGCTAATGAAGGTTGACTTGGTTTAGTTTGGAAACTAAACTTTGGTTTTGGTTTATCTTTCAGTTTTTGGTTTTTCTTCTTCTATCGTTTTCGTCACTTTTCGGTTTCTCTGACTTTACTTCACTTGCAGGAACAGTTGTGTCGTCAACATCTTCATAAATATCATATGCCATTTGTTTTGTTTTTTCCTTTCAACTTTTTGTGTTTGTAAAGTTTAGAATATTTCGACTCTAAGTCAATGAGATGTTCTATAATGAACTGTTGGTCAGTGAAGTAAACTTTTCCATCTGTTGTCTCGAAAGCTCCTTCAGACTTCAATATTTATTTGTGAGAGTCTGTTTCTTTTTTGAAGATACTTGCCGTTCCATTTTTATGAAAAGTGACTTTGTAGTTAGGGTTTGTATTTCCAGACCTGGCACTTTCTATTATTGAATTTTTCTCTTCATCTGTAAGTTCTTTGACAGGTTTTTGACAATGGTTCTGAACTTTTTGTTTGTGGTGTCAAATCTACCGTTTCAACTTCTTCGGTCATTTCATCTCAGTAAAAAATTTTAGTTTGGTTTGTTTTCAACTGGTTGTTGTTGTTTTTTAAGTCGGTCTAAAACTTCCTGAGGTATAGGAAGAACTTGACAAACACGTTGTGTAACTGCTGGAAGCCGACAAATCCATCTTGAACCCATTTGTCTCAATGCTGTATTGTTCATTTCATCTCAGTAAAAAACTTTACATTCCCCACGTTGAGGCGGTTGAGGTTGGTTATTGTTTACCCATGTTGTGCATGGTTATATCCTCTGTTAAAGAATCTTTCACCTTGGTCCATATAGTGTCCTGCTTGGTTATAGTAGTCATTTGCTTTGTTATAATAGTTCCTGCTTGTCTTCCTACATTGTCCATCCATCCTTGAACTTTTCCTCTTGTTTCAGGATTTGGAATAAGATTTGTT